AYGTCAACTTCTGACAAAAKGACTCTTTGTGTAGCCTGGTTGATGAGCACCAAAACGGAAACGTCCCTGATTTGCTATGCCATGTTTGCTCAAACATGGATAGTGCATCMTCCTCCTCTGTCTCACTCCTTACATCTCTGTTGTTTTTCCTGACAGCGGCATCTTTAACAAGTTTGGTAAAAACCAGCCTCTTGTCCTACGCTTTGCTTCGTACAGAGGGTCTGGACCTAAACTACGACACAGAAACTCGATGTCGTCATTCACGAGTCTTCCTTCTGTTCGCTGATTGGCCCGGTTGAAACTCTGCAGGAGAAATGCCAGACAGAGCAGGGAAGGGAGATTAGATTTGACCGGGGCTGTGTTGGAAACATACGCACTGTTTCTCCTCTGGACAAACCGTCAGTCCAACACATTCTCACTCCCGAGTCGTCACATATTGACGTTTTTCAAAGGTCCCTTTGCGTCCAATTTTGACGCATCAGGTGTCCCCCTCGCGTCAGTCCTTGCCGCCCGCGGCTTTCCTGGGTTGCGCCACCAGGGGTCTTTGGGTCGGGGGTCTGAGGTTAACATTAGGGATCAGGATAAATGGTTAAGTTTAGGGACTGGGGTCAGGGATAGGATGTCTACAGTGAACATTAGGTAATTTTAGGCTTTGCAACACGTAGTTGCCATGAATTTCCTACATTTTCTAAAAATGGTTAATTTTAGGTATCAGGGTTAATGGTTAATTTTAGGTACTAGGGTCTGGGACAGGATGTCTAAAGTGAATAAACGTAATTTCACGCTTTGGAACGGTAGTATTTGTGCATTTTCTACACTTTSAGAAATTACGACAACAGATTCCGCCCCATCCCGTCAAAATATGACGCAAGGGGGGTACCTGATGCGTCAAAATTGGACGCAAAGGGACCTTTGAAAAACGTCAATATGTGACGACTCGGGAGTGAGAATGGGTTGGTCAGTCACAAATCACTCCTGAAACTTCTCTCCATCCTGCCAGGACTTTCTTCTTGACCTTTTTACCACAATCACCTTCGTGACCTCTGCTCCTCTTCCACCTGCCTCCCTCTCATTCACAGGAACTCTGGCTTGCTATGGGTGGATTCCATTTCCTTTCTTCTTTTTAAATGCATACCTCCACCTCTCCAAGTTCTCTTCCACCTGTTCCCTGTTCTCACCGCAGTGGTGAGAACATGGAACTGGTGGAAGAGCTCTGAAAGCGATCATCAGAAACCAATGTGGAACATAAACACAACAAACTACTTTAAAAATGATTTACACATCCTTATGGTCAAAGGAAATAAGAAATGATAGGCCAAGTTGTGAGTGGTTGAGATTATAGTAAAAATATTTAAATGAATATTATGAAAAACATGATTGATAAATGGAGAGTGGGTGCACTACCAAAAGGAAACAATATWTTTTTTTAACCGGACCACTTTTAAAACTACTAGAAGACACTTTGTTCAAAAGAGCTGCTCTCCAAGAACGCCCTTCTTGTTTTATGGTTTGTAATTGCTGCACCGGCTAATCACAGGAACATGCTGCGACGTCTTCTTCAGCCACTAACAAGCAAACAAAAACCAGGCTGTGATCCCTGCAGTACCAGTCACAGTCTGGTGCAAATCATTTTATCCACAAAGTAAAAACAACAGGAAGGTGGCACCTCTCACACTGATGATGTCAACCTTTAAACTGCTGTTTTACACCAGATATCTCTATATAACCAAAGCTTAAGGCTAAATCTTAACACAGAGGAATATGTCCTATAGCACCTAAAGGTAAACAGTTTTACCAATAAAAAACATTTTTTTCATATTGAATTTTATTTATTTTGTTATTAAGAGTGCAAAAAAAATAAAATAATTGCTGTACACTTTAGATAATGTACATGCACAGATGTTAAAAACACAACACTTGTCAAATTCAATAAATATTGAACATTTTTCAATATTTCTCATTTTAAAAAACAAAATTGTGATCACAGCCAATCAAAGCAAATACTGCATGAACAGAGTCACTGGTCAGTTTTAGAAAAGGCAAACTAAACAGAATAACTGTATTAAGCTTTAAGCTTTAGAGTGAAGTTTTAAATTCTCTCAGCGTAATTCCTTAGAAGTATTTTGATGCTCTGTTAGAGTGCAGATAATTAACCGAGGCCTGGGAACCAACTGATTAGTGAAGTCGGTGTGAGATGCCAGGGTGTGCGTGTTGATTGCTCAGCTTGCCGAATTCTTAGCCCTAAATAAGACAAAATGTAATCATTGTTGTCCAGACTTTACATAAACATCTGCCTGGAAATATCATTTTTTTATGATAATGAGCAACAGTCCATGCACATTACKTTTTTTTACTTTGTTCATCTCCCCTAACAAGTTGTTCTTATTTTCAATCAAACAGACGAGCCAGTTGCCTCTTCCTCTATATCCATAACGTAATTTCTACCAATCCAGCTTTTTAAGTCAGGTTTTTATTATTTGTTCTTTATGCCCAGGCAGCATTCTGGAGTAAAAGAGGTTGCGAGAAGGTATCTGATACTAACAGTCTTGTTAAAAGAGTAACACGGAAATTGTCCATAAATTGTGTGAAAACTGCTGAAGAGTGATGGCTAAGAGTGTGTCAGAGTGATTTAACACATGGTGCCGGTGGTTAAAGTGGCTCTTGCTTCTCAAGTGGAGAGARAGAGCTTTTTTTTAAACACAGAACTGCTGATGTGGTTAGAATCTGTCGAGTGCACAAGTAACCGTACCAWTTGTTTGATCCACAAATACATTGATGAACGAGGACCTATATGTTGAGTGAACACAAGCAGCTTTAATTTTGGTAGTGATAGTGTCCCCACACAGGATTTGCTTTTTCAGCTCATACAGGCTCTTTCATTCTGTGCTGACGCTCCCCCTGCAGATCAGAAGTCACGGACAGAGTCGCTCTTTCAGAGAACATTAATAAAACTCAACCGTTCTGACGTGTTGCTGTCACTCAAGCTGCTGATGAGTTGCAGAATGATGTTTGTTTCAGAGATTAAAATACATTCAAGTATGACTTTTTAAGGTTTAAAGCAGAGGAGCCCAAAGTGGGGCCCGAGGGCCAAATTTGGCCCACCAAGCCATTTGATTTGGCCCACCAAGAGTTGCCAAAGTTACAAGGTTGTAAGCTGTTATCCTATGTAGAAACACAGTATTTCCATTGGTMAAATGACTGTATAAAAGGGCTGAAGGTAGTTTTCGTTCATGGTGCTGACTTTATCTTTGCTTTATTAGGATTAAACATGAAACATGAAACAACAACAAGAAATGTTTAGATCAGATTTCACCACACATGTAGATTTGCACACTTTATAAGGCCGCAAAAGCTCATATTTTATCAATTTATAAAATGTCCCATGAGCCTTTGCTACTTGTGCATATGGCAGACTTTCTCCAAGTGCACAGACCAAAAAAATGAGGGCCATTGCACAGCTTAATCGTTAAAATAAAGGACTTTACTTTAAAAAGTATATGTATTTCATGTATTATATTACTGCATTTGGCCCACAGACATGGATAGATTTTCATTTTGGCCCTCTCGGGGAAAATGTTTGGGCACCCCTGGTTTAAAGTTTTAAGATAACCAAACTCTTATCACAGTTGCATTTGTGCTGCTGCAACAACCACACTAAACAAACAGGAAAAAAAAACATAATTGAAACTTTTAATCTGGTGTTTTGACTAAAGAAACCTGCAGCCTCTGTTTGTCTTCTGAACGGACCGAGGTGGTCAGAAAACACATCAGTAATGGTATGTGTCATCTTGTGCTTTTAAACTCTGAAATTATTTCACATTTRGTGCAGGTTGTGTCAAACACCGATTTTTAAGGGGTGGCCATTGCGCTCCTTGATCCCCGCCTTTGGTGGCACCTCTGTTAAAACCCAAATGACCACAATAACTTATAAAACAAGCTGATTTTAGATTAAAACTCTTGCATATAAAGCAGTTGGAGACATATGTCACCAATGTCATTATATATTTTATTGAATCGATTCTATCCTTTTGCACAGTGTCCTGGTTTGGTCACCTTTCTCTGAAAAACAAGAACCAAATAGTGAAGTGGTCCAGTAAACTGACTGGAAAGATGCAATTAAATCCACAATCCCTGTACTCAGGCAGGTCCAGAGATTGTCTGGATCCATCTAGACGTGTCTCATCCTCTGCACGGCGAGTTCAGGCGCCTCCCATCAGGACGTAGATACGTAGTGTCAAAATGTAAAACTAAGCGTTTTAAAATCCGCTTTGTCCCTGTCACAATTAGGTTTTTAAACTCAAATTAACATAGTATAACACAATATCAATTAGTCTTTTTTTGTAGTTTTATTTGAATTTATCTGTTTGTTTGTTTTTTCTTTGATTCTTATATAGTAGTTTTATGAGCACCTGGTCACTTTTTAATCATGTGTCCATTGTGTGTCCGTGCCATTGGTCTTGTGTTTTTCTTGGAACAAAGCCGACTCATTTTCACTGTAATCAAATGTACCTGCAGGTACAAATAAAGCTGATTGGTTGATATATGAAACACACATGATTAAAAGTTATATTTTAGGGTTTTAGAGCAGCTAAGTGTCCACCACATGTTTTTATTGTAAAGCTAAGCTAACTGCCTGTCRGTTCAAGATACACCATATCAGCCACATCTTGAAAGCATTTGCTTTTTTTTTTTTAAGTACCTGTAAAATTAGGTTTCAAATGAATCTACAGAGACTTAATATWACCCTCCAACCACATTTAGGTGCAAATAAGTTGAGTTAAGCTGAGCAGGCCCTGGAAGGTGTGGAGGTGTGATAAGGCGGCCATCTTTAATGCAACCTTGAGGACTTTCTAACCAAAGTGTAACTACACACTGTGTGAATTTGTAGCAGAAATCACAGATAAGCTGCTTTTGCTACACAAAAAAAGTCCCTGTTGAGGAGGAAGACCCCCGTCAGACTCTTTAATTGCGCCCCCTCCTCTTCCTCCTCCTCCCTCCTCCTCCTCCTCCTCTCCTCCAGGCTGGAGAACTTCTCCCCAGCCCTCCACTTGTGTTCAGTTTGTGTTGGACTGGATAACAGCAAAGACATGGCTTTTCTCCTCCTGCGAAGAGCGCTGCTTCTGTTTCTGCATCTCTGCCTCCTGACCTGGAGCGGTGAGTTCATACATTTGTGCCTCTCTTTGTTGTCGTAGCTTTTTTTTTTAATTATTATTATTAAAAAAAAAGTTTATTTCAAGAGTACACACGGCGTGTTTACATGAACCCTCTTTGGATGCTCTTCGTTTTTTTAATGGAGCGACACATTGCGGTGCTTTTTGGTCTTTGTGCGGTAATTTAGCGGTAATTACGTGAACCCTCTCCGTCTCCTTTTGGAAAGGTTGTGAGTTTTTAATTGAAACTTACTTTTACATGACTAACGACTTGCTCTCTCGCGTTAATTTGGCTATAACCAAGTTGAGCCTTCGTAAAATAGTAAAAGGTGCAAATCATTACCGCGTAATTGCTGCTAATTAAAGGGAGCCGCTGCAGTGTATAAAACATTAAACATAAAACACTAAAGCTTACCCTGAACTTCATATAATGCAGCTTCAAAGTGTTTATTCACATATATTGAAATAAAATTGTAAAACGCAGGTACGCACGCAATGTAAACAAACTCTGAGTAGATATTTTCAGGCACTTTTGCTGATTAAGTAGGTAGGTAGGTAAAGAAAAACCCTGTTCTTACATTTTTTATTTAAAAAACACATTATTATAAGAAAAAAGGGGCGTATTTTATGATTTTTAAAAAGTATTTTTTGACCGAAGACTTTGTAAAGATAAAAACTAGTTWTTAACCCACACATTCTGGCATGTGATGAGTATTTTAAAGGCTTGTGACCTTGTGTGGACTGGAGTCTGGAGAAGTTATTAAAGCTTTACGAAGCTTGTTGTGGACATCTAAAGCAGTGGTTCCCAAACTTTTCAGCTTTTGACCCACAAAATAACAGTAGAGACCTGTGCCACCAGTTATTTTTGGATGATAAACATTTGTATCAGGTTAACAAAACATGGGCATAGTGACAGTTTTTTATACTAAATTTATCCATTTTAAATATACTAACCTCTCTGTAACAACTAAGGCAAAAATGTAATTAATTCAGAAAATCTTTTCAGGACCCCACCTTGATGTTTCGTGACCCCACTTTGGGTCCTGACCCTAACTTTGGGAAACACTGATATTTGGCAGGACTAGTTCTGGAAGACGCTCACCTAAAAAAACTTTAAAAAATGGTCATTTTTGGTGTGTGTGTGGCTAACTCCTCCACTCCAACAGTCTAGGTGTGTTTACTGTTATCTTTGCAGAGTCAAGCCTCGTTTCCTCCCCATGGCTGAGGTWCAGCAACTTGAACTAAAAAGAAAATCCTTTACTTAAAACTGAAACTAACAAGGATGCATCTATAAATAGGAACAACAGAGACATTCATTCAGCATAGTTTCTCACAGTTCAAGGTCACTTGCATGTGTGTTGCTTTGTCTGGGCTAAAATCTAGGTATGYAAGGTATTTGCTTTGCAATTATTTAACTATATAAAGTGCATCTCAACAGGTTAGCTGATAAACTAAATCATTCAGACTATCTCAGCTCCAAATTTATCACCAGTTAATGTAAGGTCAAAACGATGACTTATGTGCTGATGCTGAACTTGTACTGGTTTGAAGTGACTAATTACTGATTTTGTCTAGTAAAAACATAATAAAATTTAATGTTTTCCCTTTTTTTTTTTTACCTTTTTGGATTTTAGTGCGAATTTTTGATTCGATCGATTAGATGAATGTGTTGTGACTGAATGTTTTTATAGGTTGTTTATTTTGGTAGTTTTGTGAATTTCTTAGCTTTTTCTTTAGTAGTTCATTTACATGAGTTCACATGAGAAGATTAGCTTAGACATGCCCACATGTCGTGGTGTCCTTGTTGCTGGTCTTGATTCAGATTCCTGATGAGCTTGCCTCCTCGCTGCCTGTCTTCAGATGGTTAATGGTCATGGTCAGCTGGGCCGAGGCCTTGGGGTTGATCCGAGGCTCCCTGTAGGGATTATCTCTCCTAACTGGCCGGGGGATGGCTGGYGATTCTCAGGGGACAGGTGGGGAGGGTTCTGGAGATGTCTAAGACCCTGAAGTCAGCTGAACTGTTGAGATGGACGTWTGAATGTTTACATGGATAAATGACAAGTTTTGCTTCCCACTTAATGGTAAAAAGTGTTTGGATGTTTGGTGATTTGGGGTGTTTTTCTTCTGATTCTATGGTTCATTATACTCTTTTACCAGCACTCATGTTTTCTCCAGGAAGTTACCGGTACTCTAAACAATGTTAGTCAAGTTAGCTTTGGGTGATTTCTAATGCCTTCCTAATTTGAATGGAAACATTCAAACTTGTCGTGGAAAGTAAGGAAATGAGTGTTTGATTTGGATTATTGCTTTGTTGTAACAATGTGTCTTAGCAATAAATCTCATATCGCTGGATCTTAAATTCCCTTTTTAAATGCTGCCACATTTGTAAGGATCATTCATTTGTTGGATGAGCRGTAGATCTGAKAATGTGGGTTGTGCACATGAGAAATTTGCTGTTATTGACTCTTGTTTTGAGCTCCTGGTACTYCCAGGAGCAGAAGATGCCCAGCGTAGAAGCATTGTTAAAACAAAGAGATAATCTACCAAACAAAAATTTCTTCACTTTCTSTAAGTATATTTCCTCAACAGGAGGTCTTAAAGGGTAGTTTTCTGTCAAAAGCACTTGCTTTATTTCTAATGAGTTCTTTAGATTACCCATTTTTTGCCTCTCAACAAGGGTTTTGTTGGACTGTTGATCAAACAAACCAAGTTATTTCATCGTCTAATTTTTGTTTTATTGTAACTTCTGTTGTCACCAATGGTCCCAAAGTTGGAGGTCAGGACCTCCGTGGTGGGTCATGAAACCAAATGGGGGTCTTGAGAAGATCTGCTGAAATCAAAACCACTTTTAAAGAAGCATTTCCAAAAGCATATTTARCCTTAACTGTGTTAAGAAATGAGAACAATAATCATTAAGTGATTATAAAATCAAACGAYAGTTGGCAAGACTCTTTTCTAAACGGGTTTAAAGCAAAGTTTAGACTTAGGGGTGGCTGTGGTGCAGTGGTAGAGCAGCTGGCTTGGGATCCAAAAGTCATAGGTTCAACTCCCAGCCATGCCCTCATGTCATGGTGTCCTTGAGCAAGACACCCAACCCCCCACAGCCCCCTGGGCGCCGACATAGCTGCCCGCTGCTCTACCTAGGTGCCTCTCACATGTGATGGGTCAAATGCTGAGCACAAATTTTGTCATCGTACAGGAACATACGTTGATGACCAGTAAAGTACCTTTACTTCTACCAGCCTTTGTTATTTTTATTTTAAGGCWGCAGGCTAATTAAGGCCTTGAACATACGTACATATTTAAATATCAACTGTAAGGAAGGATAGTTAAAGACTAAACTCATACATGTTGTTCAGATTATGAGACACTTAAAAGCTTTGTCACAACAGTTTATAACTGTTTGCTACACTTTTATTTTTAATAAAACTTAATGAAAGATGAAAATAACAAAGCTTCACCGGCAGAAACCCTCCTTCCTCTCCACTGCATCTCACAACAGGACAACACTCACTCAGTCCGGACCTGATCCCTCTTTTTCTCCTAAACCCCTGTTTTTACCCCATCAGCCTTGTCTTAATTGGGTTACTCCTATTTAATCCTCATCTCCCCTCAACCTCCTCTGGAGACCAAATAAGCTGTCTGTTTTTGGATTATGTTGGAGGGTTGCTCAGATTGAAACCCGGTCCCCTGAAGAACATCTAAATGAAGCACCATCTAAACTGACCTAATCTCTAATGGACCTTGAAGGGCACTTACTCAAACACAATTTGTGGCTGAAAGCATTTCTCCTGCTTGGAAATGAACCCATCCTGTGTGTGAGGAGAACCCCAAAATGTTTTGTATAAAAACCTGTATTGATTTCAGGGTCCGGTGTTCATCAGCATGATGGTCATGTTCTGTTGTAGGAATGGGTGAGTGAAATGTGCAGTCGATGCTGCGGTGCAGTAAATCTCTGGTACGGCAGAGCTTTTATAACGATGTTTACAGACCTGAAAGGAAGCACGACGGATGGGCCTTTTTAATCCATTCTATTATGTAATGCTTTTTGTTTAAAACTGAGTTGTTTTTTTTATTTTCCACTGAGGCTGTGTAGGATCAATAGTCTGTTTCTTTGTGTGTAAAATCTCTTGATATCGGAGCACTGACAGACAGTTTTGATTATATAAATGTAAAGTCCAGCCTACTGTAGCGATGATAAATCAAGCAAGTAAATACTTTTATACCTTCTTTGAAAGATTCAGCAAGATAAAAACCTTTTTGGACCTTCTGGACATYGTTGACTTAAAATGACGCTGATATTTCATGACTTATGGTGTAAAACAAGACTTAGCTGCATTTCTATCAAAAGTGTTGAATTTGTGGTCAGGTTTCCATCCTGGTTTTAGTTCATCCTTTTTAAAACAAAGTGGTTGATCTTTCCACTTCTAGAGAAAACACATTATCCACAGGACCAGAGTCAAGATGAATTGAGTTGGGTACATTAGGTGGCACCTGTGAAGGTGGGTTGATAGGGTTTGTGTTGGTTTTCTTACACTCTGTGACAAATGAACAGTTTTCTGATTGTGACTGAAGTTATTTTAGCTGCCTGTGGAACAAGCTTCAGAACGGGTGACCAAGATGGCAAACTCTCAAGAAGTCGGGCTTCTTTTCATGAGAATGGTGTTTTTTTAGTACTAGAAAATTATTTGCCAACATATTTATTACTTGTTTAACTTGCAAGTAGTCTATCTATTCATAAAAAGCTAATTATCATTAAATCAACGACATCTGGAGGCGCAGGAGGTCAGACAGGTGTAGGTCATTAATAAAACTTTTAAATCAGCTCTAAAAGAATCAGGGAGCAAATGATGAAAAGTCAAACATGAAGTTTTTAGACCGGATGAAAGATGGAGCATCTGAGGGAAAAAGCAAAGCTGCTAATRTAGAACAGAGCTTTTTTATTAACGAGGCGTCAGTGCTAAACAATCTGTCGTGTATGAAAATAAATTCTTAAAGCAATAG